ACAATAAAAAATTAGGAACAATAAAAAAACGACACACTCGGTAATGAAATCTAAATCCTAAAATACCTTTAAACACATTTTCTTATTCTAAAATCGACAAATATTAGGTAAGATTTTCGAATAACAACTTACACCACAATTTTAATGTTTGCAGAATAATCAGCATATTAGGAAAGTACAATTGGACATTTTCGGCAGTTTTCTTAAATATTTACAGAAAGATCATTTTAAATGCTTTGTTAAAACAGAATTATGTTCGCGATACCTCTATCTATATCTCACAAATCTAAGTAAAAAAAACTGACGAAATCTTCTTTAATTTTATACAAAAATTCAACCCACGGTGCATCCAAAGGCCCCCTCATAACAAGACAAATATGATTTAAAATAATTACCATATCTTGTAAAAGCAAACTACCAATTACCTTTTCGGGTTCTGTTCCATGCCGCGCAAGTTCCCATGAATATTTCATGTCATTCATTTTTTATTCAAGAAAAATCCAGTTGTTTTTCTTTCCCACTTTTCCCGTCCCTGATTAAAAGACGAAATTCACAAAAAAAACCCCCACAGAAAAAATAAGGGTGCAATTAACTCGAACAAGTTCCGAATGGTGATGAGATGTTTTGCTGAAGATTCTTGGATATGCTAATTATCATTGAACTGGTAAATAGAATTTTTTTTGAAAATAAGGAATAAGCGTTTTACACATATCTGACAAAATGCTTGAGATACGTTATAAAGAAATACCCAAACTTGTTATTAGCATAACACAGATCAAAATATATTTGTTGAACTTTTAGTAAATTTGTTCTTATATTATTCATTTAAAGGAAGACGTCATATTTAAAATTTACTCATCGTCAAGATACCAAAGTAAAATCTTGGAAACAGAAAATGGTTTTTTGTTTCAATAATTTTAATTCAGCAGCTCTTTTTAAATAAAATATTGTTGCTATTTAATACATTTCCATTCTTTGAGCAAATTGATTTGATTTATTTTTTTATAAGGTTCTCCTATATTTTGTAAACAAAATCTGCTTTTCTCTAATTATAATAATAATAAATAATAATAATAAATTAAATATAACACCTTGCTGGTGTTGAACGATTTGGGCAAGAAATGAAACGCAATCGGTTTGTAACGAACAATATTTAATAATAAAATAGTCATTATTCACATCAGGAAATTACGTGGAATTTTTAATAACACATAATATTATATTTTCACAACTATATAGATCCAAACAGATCACATTGGTTCGTAGGGATTCGTATCTTAATACACTTAGCAGTATACAACATCGGATACAATTATAATGAAACTCAATACTCTTGATCCAATTTGACTTATCTTTCGTTTTTTTTTGGGGGGGGGGGGGGGGGTGGTAGAGGGTCAGGAACGAAATCTTATATTTATGGATCAGAGAATCCTTAAAAATTGCCTCGACAGCTTCGGGTAACAAAGAACTCTATCATAAGTGTATAATTGTACTTGAATGAGGTAGCTTCATTGGAACAGAATGTTCGGTATTAGTCGATTAAAAATATTTACAATAGCGTTCTAATTTTTTATATAGTATAATATAATGGATCTATGATAAAATCAGTCTTTAGTTTTCTTACTAAATCAACACGAATTGACGATCGCGAGCTCGCAAAAGCTCGGAGCCATGAATTTAACCATAAAATTGAACTTTATTCTTTTACAATTTTTTAAGACGGCGATCAAGGTTCGCCTTAAAAATACAATATTATGGGTAAAATCATGCAAAATGAAGGTAAAAAGATATCTGTTATGTGCTATCAGTAAACAACACAAGTTTGCCAGTAGTGACAGTTAAATCTAGTGGGCAATCAAGTTCGAATCTACCTAAGTAGGTACAGAGCGATTGTCAAATACCTCAAACAATATTTCACTACCAGTAATATTCATGGTTGGAAAAGCGTAATAAAATTAATGATTCTGGCAACCCTGTTGCAATATGGTAAACTCAAATGAGGAAATCGAAAATACGGAGCAGCACGTAGAAAAATATACACTGAGAATGTTTCGATATTATTTGGACCGTCATTTGGTACTTACAGTGTGTGCCCTAAAACTTACGAACAACAAACAAAATATCCATAACAAGTACGTGAACAGCCACCATTTTACACTTATAATTATAACCTAGCGAGAGAAAAGAAAAACAATAAAACACACATATACAGGTAAATACTTCTACAGTTAAAAGATATGCGACGAAAATATTTACAGGAAAATTTACAATGGACTCAAAACTTTTATTCGACACGTGGGAGTTTCAAAAGAAAATTTTGAGCGGAAAAACGTATATAATACATTCGCCTACCGCAATTTGTTTTGCAAATTGCGTTCAAACTCCCGAAATGAAAACGATCCTGTTGAGGGGGACGCTAGGAAGGTTAATTGCAAAATTCGTCGTCAAAAGTCGCTATTACACAACGACAATATGCGTCTAGGAATACAATAAAAACCGGTCCAAAAACGGGTTGCGGGTAAAAAAATAATAGAAAAGGGAATAGAGAAGTTTTACATCGAATTCAAATGCCCACGGTATTGCCGTTACTACAACTCAGATGAAATTACATAGTTCATTCAAATGTGTAACCGTTTCTTGTGGCTACTTTTCCGCTGAAAGCCACTTCTGTGTCAGTTAAGGACGTGTTTAAGATCGGTAGGGAATAGTTGGACATACATAGTAACAGATCAATAATTGGCAGTAAGAAATTGTTTTGAACAATGAAAATTTTTTCCAAAATTTTGTGCAGTAATGGACTACATAAGCTTCCTCAGAATCGTTACTTCACGCACTTTCATTAACGGAAACTCGTTTATGAGTTCATTTAACAACTTTGTGAGTTTTTCTACTGTTAAAGGTTTTGATTTTTTTATGGATCTATGGTATTTAAGTCATCTCTTCGCTCGCGGTTTTAAAATTAATTTTAAAATTAAATTTTAAAATTCCACTTTTCTGAAGATTCCAAGTGCGAGAAACTTGATTAATAGGTTCTCATAGGAAAATAAAAAACCTACACACTGTCTTGTATTCTTGGCGAATTCAGAAAGTTCCAAATAAAGAACTCATTGGAGGAGGTGTTTTTTCTGTAGATAAAACATTAATTTGCCTCAACAATAACGGGGAAAACGAAATTTTCAAAGTGAAATTTTTATTTATTTGCGTTGTCCGCTATATTTTAATGCACCTGGTTGCTTTTTCTTCCGATCTAAACGAAAAGATTTGTCTGAACAATTCTGCAAATCCAAAAATTAATAGATCAAATCGGACGACAAATCTGTTTGTTTATGTCCAACTAATCGAATCAGATTTGACGAAAACTTGATCGACTTTACAGTCGGGTGAAATTATTACCACAGGTAATTAAGGTTAAATTAGAATAAACAGATTTCGTGTATAAAAAAATACTAGAAGCGAATGTGATGAGTGCGACTTAGTGAAAGGCGGTGATGGTGCATTTTTGTCGCCCTACTTTGATATTAATTTAATTTATTCAGCGTGGTGAACGACGACTCCTAGTCAACTTTTTGGCGCTGCCTGCCTGCCGTAAAATAATGGATTTTAATAGAGGCCCTCGGAAATGGTCTGAGAATAACGAGAACATTTTGAAACCTTTTTAAAGTTAATGGCACCTAACGGGCAATTAAAGGATTGAACCCTTGTCATTCGAAAAATATGCCGCAGTCATTTTCGGACTGCGAATCTAACAGTTGTCGATGCAGAGGCGTGCGCTTACCGTTTACGGCCAACTTATTTTTTTAAAACGTCTGAACATTTGGCAGAAAGAATTTATAACCGAGTGACCGCAAGGTAGCTGCGGGAACTCCGACGGTCCTTTAGCTAAACGCTAACAAAAGGTTACAGCTATCTAGGGCACGCAATACAAAAGAACACGGTTTTACAACAGCAGCGGTTCATAGAAACCCAGCATGCAAATTTGTTATTTGCAAATTGAGAGCGTAAAATTTGCAGGTATTGACCTAACAGTACATTTTTGTTGCGACTTTTCAAGAGGGATTTGCATTTTATGAAACCTAGAAGGTCTAGAAGTGGGACTGTATAATTTTGAGTCACAAAGGGTGACTTAAAAAACTATCTTAAGTTAAGCTGCAACATAAATCCAACAGCTACTGCAACGTGAGAAATTTCGCCTTCCACTAACAATTCGTAGTCATTATCAAATGACATTTTTTGCTTTTTCAATCTCTGTCTCCCAAGTTCGATACAAGAATTGTACCAACTAGGTCAGACGACAGCATCTTTAGTCGGAGAGAAAGAAAAAGCATTCATTAACGGCACACCCAATAATTTGAAAAAAAAACTAGAGAAAACGACCACAAAACGTATTTGTGTATTTGTATCATAATCGTTGTTGTTTATATTTAATCATCATTGCGACACATAAAAACAAAGAAGTAAATGAATTCTGTATTATTTATTGCAATTGCAATTGCAACACAAGAGATTATTGTAGAAAAAAACAACTGCAACTAGCATTGGACCTTTTTTTATATTTGGCACCAACCTTTTACAGTACGGAAATCAAATTAATTTTTGGTATTAATATTTCAAACAGGGGAATGAGAACAACAGATCGTTATCGCCGTCCTTGCAGGCTCGTTCAAGATATTCACAAAATAACTTTACAATATTGACACGCGAGGCGCGACGAATAAGTCCAAAAAATATTTGCTAAATGAAAACTCTCGAAACAAACAGGATTTGAAAATCAAATGTCATACGATTGAAAATATAATAAATTATTTGGTTGTTTAAACGCAATTTGGGGTCCAACAAACTGAGAAGGCAAACACTCAATAACAAACTAATACCTAGGAACTCGCATACCTGACTATACAAAACATCCCGTATCACACCGAATTGAAGAGAAAAAATATTTAGGTAGGTATCCCTGATTAATTCGACTAACAGCTAGATTACGTTCTATTAAACTTGGCAGACTAGTGACTCAGCGGCCTCTTTTGTAAAAAAAACGACGCCGATTCGTGAGGGTCCAGCTCCTCTTCTTCAAGGTCCTCCCGAGAACTATGGCTCCTGGACATGGGAGAACCTACCCCGCTACTGTTCGAGTTCATGCCGGTGCTCATACTGAGGTCCTCTGGCTCGGTCTGTTCAGGTAACGCCACCTGTAGAGGGAGACTCATCAAGGGAGTATTTGGAGGGTGGAGGACACGTCTTGGTCTCGTCTCCTCTTCCGGTTCCTCCATATCCAGTGTTGTGTCAGTTTCGGAAGCCATTCCGCACTTGTGGTGCATCAAATGATGCCTTCGACGGAATCTACTGTGACACCTATCACATGAAAATGGTTTTTCGTTGGTGTGGATCAATACGTGCGCTTTGAGTTGATTAGAATCAGAAAATTTCGCGGAGCAGTGATCGCAAGAGTAAGGCCGTTCACCAGTATGAACCCTCAAGTGCCTCCTAAGGTTGGCAACCTGGACAAATTGTCTATCACAGTGATCGCAATGATACGGACGCTCGCCCGTATGCAAACGCATATGGGTCTTCAGATGGTGATCTCTGGTGAATCTTTTATGACATTCGGGACATTCGAAAGGCTTTTCGCCGGTGTGAGTTCGCTCGTGGTTCTGTAAAACGTGTTTGTAACCGAACGACCTATTGCACACGCCGCAAGTGAATTGTTTATCTTTATTCGCCTCCTTCCCGTCCCCTCCCGAGGGAGGTGATACGCTACTCGTAGGAGAAGGTAACGGCTCTTCCGTCTTCCATTTCCGAATTTTTACGTCGATCTGCGTGCTACTGCTCACGACGTTGTTGTTGTTATTTAGTTTTCTCACTTTCTGAGCGGGAGAGAGTTGCTCGGTACTGGTGGGAGGAGACGGTGGTGAGTTGGGAGGCCAGGCAAGCGGCAAGAGACCGGGATGGAAGAAAGCGGGATTCGAAATTGACAGTCCCGAAGCTGCCATCAGTTGGCTGGCCATCAGGAGCTGCGAGGGGGTAAACATCGATGCGCCGGGAAAGGCTGGGTAACCCACCGGTGGAAACGGAGAGTTGAGGGGGTTTTCTTCCGGTTCCACTTTCATTTCCTTGCCGTTGAGGATATCTGAAAACAGGATAATATCTTAAGATTGGCGGATAATGATTATTTCTAAGTGTTGAAATGTTAGCTCGAGTTTTAATATCGCTACCGATGCAGTAAACTAGAAAAATAAATGAAAATATAAAGACAATAATAAAAACTATAATTAATAATTAATTATTAAATTAATAAGTAACACCAGCGTTCTTACTAAACTGCAAATTCTGAACCAGGCATGGGTTTTAGAGCCCGTACTGTAAAAGCCGTTGAAACAGAATTAAATTGTCCAAAATTCAGGCAACTTCAACTTGTTCTTTTGTTCTTTCTATTTTTATTCACCCTATTTTCTGGCAATTCACTTTATTCCTAAGGTGTATGAGTTGCCAAAATCGTGATAAAATGATTCCTGATCCAAACAGCTTTTCACTTTCGAGATAAAAATCCATACTTATAAAATACATCACATTCATTTCGTGGACTTATCCCACAAAACCCAATTTGTGTCTGATGATTAATGCCTCTACATCCATACACGTAAGAAAGGAAACTTGCTACCCAATTTGGATTTCCTCATATGAAGAGCTCTTAATTATAGACAATAAAATTGTGTCTGTCACACACGGCACGGATTTTGTTGTAAATCTTAACTATTTGATAAAGACACGGTGTTGTCGAAACAATTGTCATCTCAAAACATATAATTTCGTGAAAATGTGAACTATTAGTTCTTATTTATTTTGATATTTTGGTGCCGTTTGTTCAGTCAGTGAGGGACAACGTGGAGCAGGGGTTCGAGACTTGTGCCGTTTACACTGAATTCTCCAAATTAAAAGTGATCTCTACCTAGCAACTAACTGTACTTTTCGCACTGCACTGCACTGTTCGAAGTGTGCCAAGTGAGATCTTAAGGAAACATCTGCAGGATTCCAGTCGGAGTTAACAAACGAACGGAATATATTGTCATGAAAAATTCTTTTCTATATACTTTAGAAAATTCTTTAATGCGTTTTCAAACACCATTTGGCGCATGTTTCGACTTTTCTAGGCACGGACCTGACTTTTTTTATTTCAAAGCCATCCTTGACACATTATCCCTTAAGTTTTTAAATTAAAAAATAACGTCAACAATGCCCGCGCATGTGTCTTTCCTTGCCTATCAAAAATCCGGGCAATGGCAAATCCTACTTTATCTCTAAACAAACGCAACATGGTTCAACAGCAAATACCCACTCGAACATATTTTTTGAAGAAAATAACGCGATATAAATATATGGCTGTCGCAGCCGGTTATACACACGCTCTTCTAATTCCATTGAACTCCACTCTCTCGTAATGTGTCCAAACACTATTGCTTAAAGGCGTTTGACAATGAACTTCAAGACGTTTTCCGTGCACAATAGTGCAGACGTCCGACCTCGCTTTAACCCTCGCTTCGCCGGATTCATAAAACACCCGCCCCTTTCCACCCCTCGAGGCAGAGTTCTTGGTGACACTCGGCAAAAATCGACATAAACACCCGTAAGCTAAACGTGGTCTCAAAACGTTTACGACCAAAAATTAAAAAATAAAAGCGCATCTCGTCCAACCGCGAAAGGGTTATCGTTCGCAAGGGGACTAATGAAGGGAGGAGATAAATTAGAAAGGATAATGGATCCCGCGGCTGCGTCCTTCTTCCCGTAAACTGCGTCGTTGGGTGGGGCCTGGAAAGTTAGCCAGGCTCATTACCGGAAGAGCAGCTCACGAAAAGATCGCTCGAAAGTTAAGCGGAGGAACAACTTTCAAAATGGGAAAGTATACATTTACCCAGAGCTTTCTTTGTTAAAGGTGCTCGAAAAACATGAAATTATCCCGATGAAATTAAAATAATCGGTGCGAACTATGGCTATGTTTTTCTATTGGTGGAGTTTCCTAAAGATTTTATGACTTCGTCTTTAATAAGCAGCAGATCGGATCATCATAAAAGAAAATTTGTTTTTTGATCGCTATGTCGAAAATATCTTTGGGTAAAAAACACATTTTTGTAATTTATAACCCCAAATATCTAACCTGTCGAAATCAACGATTAATAACTCGATATCTTGGTCTATATTTGTTCATATTTATCCCATCGCGACAATTCCACTAAATTTATTAGTATTATTAGTATTAGTAGAGTTGTGAATAAGAAGGTTTAAAATATAAAATGTGGGTAGGATAGATGGAACAGCCTACAACATGGATATTTCAGAGAACTGTTTATTTAATGACAAATTAATTCTCCGAAATCGAAAGAAAACAAGTCGACCTGAAAATTAGACCTCAAAATTATTATGCGAAGGAGTAATTAGATAGGCAAAACTGCAAATCCCGAATCTTCATTGTCATTATTTTGGACTATTATTCTAGTACAAATTGCAAACAATATTAGTTAATTAGGGTATATATTAAAATTGAGTTCCCATTTTATTCGTTATATTTTAGATTAAGCATATATAAACTTAAATAAACTAAAAATCTGTCTGGGTTTTCTTATCTAGATGGGAATCCGATTTGACATTCTCGAATATTTTATTTATTATATACCACATTATCTAAATCCAATAAATCGGCAAATTCGTAATTTTTTTGTTTTTTAAATATTAATTTCCATATTACATGTAATGGTTATATGCTTTACTATTTTTTTTGTGAATAAATTCGAGGCCGAATATAAAGCCGAAGTATGTTTAGTGATAACAATGGAAATATTTTGCATTAGGACCATTGAAGGTAAGTGTACGGTGTATAAACAGAAAATCTGAAAACAGATTATGGAAAGTTTTGTGTTGGCTAATCTGACTGTTATTTGATATTGACAGACAATCTCGCCACAGAGCTTAAGGGATTTGTTAAGCACATTGTCTGGTGGAAAGGAAAATATTTATAAATCGTGGGTATTAAAAAAACCGACGGAGTGACCTATCGAAAAATTGTAGTAATCTATTCAGAAGTATAATAGAATAGAAAAACCACAGGTACTCATACATAGTATCATTAAATTTTTCTTGCACAAACTCGATAGGTAAAGATAGATAGCTGTTGACATAAAACTAGCTTTTGTCATCATACGTTAAACGGTAAATCGGTATTCCTTTGTCTGCCATACAGGTTAAAACCAATGGCAGATAACTGCAGTTTTTCTACATGTTTGTTTTTTTTTGGAGAAATCATATAAATTGTTTATCCTTCTTTGAACTGCAGATTTTGCCATATATTTTGACTATTTAATACTGTTTTTCAATGGAAAAATGTTGTGTTGCCTAATAGTTGCTGTAATGTATAAATGTGTCAAAAGATTTTTATTGGTAAGCAGAGCTATTGCATATTACCAAAATATTACATGGCTTATTTTATAAATAAATACTAATTCGGAGCGTTAAACATGACAAACAAACTAAACAAAATATATGAATATCGTTAGTTAGTTATATAATAATAATAACGAATTATTATATTTGTGCGTTTAATTCATAAATAAAAATAAATTGGTATTTTGGTTCTTTATCTACTTAAAAAACTGAGAAAGAAGATTCAAAAATCTTCCCTTTTCAAGAACAAAAAGATTTACATATTAAATTAAAATTCTTCTGAAAAAATAGCTCTTTTCTAACAAACAAATTTGTTGAAAATTTTAATTAATATAATATTAATAATAATTAAAGAAAATATTGTTTAATTATCAACAGATCAATGATTGATAATGGAATAATAATCACAAATAAAGTCATTAAACAACGAGAGCTCCCCATTCTCCTATTTATACAAATAAGAGAGGAAAAGGATCCCATTTGACTTCTTCTACGTTGGGCTCATTTCAGTTTAGAACGAGTTCACTGGTCAGTCAGGATTTTAGAAAGGTTCCGAAGTCTACAGAATTTAGGGTGTTCTATACGAAATTTTATACAGTTGTTACTGGTTTTGAGTCGCCCCAAAATACTTGCCAAATATAAATTATCTCCTATTATGGCCTTATACCAAATTTGGAAAAGCTCTCTTTGTTAGTTTTGCACACGCGAGTCACCGTGTGTAAAGGAAAAAATGTAATTACCTTCCTATATAATTACCGTTTTTAGAACTGCCCTTTTTGGGTTTTTCTGGAATATTATAGCAATCCAATGTGAAAGTAGTAGTAAAAGTAAAGTTTAAGGTTGGGCTCATATGATGCTTTCTGCGTACGTAAACTTTTAGTTTGGGCTCATGTAGCTTTGTTTCTTTGCTTTCTTTAGAACCCTGCAGATTTAGAGATATAATCTACAATTTTCCTATCTCATAGTAGTCAGGATATGGCGAGCTGACGAGTAATTATTAATATATGAACAATATTGTAATGTCGCTATGTTAAAATAAACAAGTTCAAGTGGTGGTGCGTTGCGTAAGTCTGAGATAAAGGATGGCTACAAAATCTCCACGTACCTTGAACCGTGTGGACTCGTCTAGTTCGTTTCAGAAAACCCGAGTAAATTATTAATTTATTGATAGCCTAAATTTAACACACAGTAATGGCAACTTCGCAAAAGGAGATAGTAAAAAAAGGAAGAAACGGCAGTCCAAAGAACCAACAACAGACATATTTATAAGTGCAAGCGTGTAATACGAAATACGGGTGAATCGTTGCGAGAGATACAAAGTTCCTTTTTGATGCCTTTTGTCGCGGTTATACCGAATAAAATTCCCGCATTTATGGCAGGCAGGACTGACTCGACGCTTTCCCATTCAATATTCCGACAGTCCGAATTCCGTTTTCATTGTGGCATCACGTTCGACACTGAATAGTGTCTCGCGTTTCATATATCAACGCGGAATCGTTGCCATTTTTCAATAACTCTGACGTGTGAGGTAATTCATCATCATTTGGTTATTCGGGGAATGGACGTAATATATGATAAACGGCGAATATGTTAGAATTGCCCAAACGATACTGCGCAATACGTAACGCCCCACTGAGATGCGATGAATGCCGATAGTCTCGCAAACATTTTTAATTTTTATGATAAATCCCTAAAGCA